GCCGCCCCCGGGTAGAGAAGGGTGCTTTGCCCCTTTGCACACTGATGGCCCCTTTGGGAGGGTGGGTCCGGGGACCTGACCACAGCGCTTCCCAAGGGGCTGCGCCCAGGCAGGACCCTCCGAGCGCACAGGCCCTCCTGCCCTCCCCTGGGACTGGGAGACACGCAGGTTCGGTCCGCCGCCCACAGTCCGCCACCTGGGTGGCTGCCGGCTGCTTCGATCTCCGAAGTGCGGAGCAGACCTGCGGCGGCCGGTAGCGCGGGGAGAGCTCAGGCCCCTCCCCCAGGACCGTGCACAGTCGGGACACTTGTTCCCGAGCCCAGGAGAGGTGCCTGGTTCCTGCGGCTTGTCCCGCCGCTCTGGAGCTGCCCTCGGAGGACTCTGGCCTCCAATTTCTGGTCCATAGTAAGAAAACGAGTAGCCCTGGTGTCTGCCTCTCGTGCGTGGCCGGGGAGGTCTTGATGGTGATTCCTTCTCTTTCTCCCTCACACATGACCCCATGTCATCCCGGAGCCGCTCTTTTTGGAGTTCCCATGTGGCTCCCTGAGCCACAGCACAGGATGTTTAATAAGAAGCTAGGACTCGGCGTAGGGGTGCCCTCAGCAGGCTCCGGGAAGGACCAGGCCACGTCCCTTCTTGGGGTGAAGTAATTCACTCAGGCCAATCAATGTGCTTCTGAGTTCGGGGAGCGGCCTGCATGGTGCTCTGGGCTTCCAGCTGCTCTGTAACTTGGGCTGTTGCTTCCTGCATCGCAGACCCGGAGTGTGATGAAGACGTGTGTGAAGAGGGCCTGGGGAGGGGTCCAGATGCCGGGTCCAGGCTGCAGCAGGGCAGCGCAGTTCTTGTCTGCAGTCTCTAGGAAAACCCCTGGAGCTGCAGTTTCCTAGGCTCCCAGTGGTCTTTCCCGGGGCCTGTCCCCTGGGAGCGGAGGGGCCAGGGGCTGTTGGGAAAAACGATGCTGGCTTTCAGGACAGCTTTGCCCTGGATCCCTCCTGCCGGAGCTGCCGGGAGCGTGCGGAGGTGGATGGACTTTGTGATGGGCTCTCGGTCCCCTGTTGGCATTCTGGGCTGGACAGTTCTTGGTTGTGAGGGGCTGGCTTGTGCACCACAGGGTGTTCAGCGGCGTCCCTGGCCTCTACCCACTAGATGCCAGTAGCATCCCCTACAGACATTGTCAAATGCGGAGGAAGGGGTGTAGAAGTGCCCCCACACACTGTTTTGAGCCACTGGTGTACTTGTAAATGACCTTGCCCTCTCGGCAGGATCTCGGCAGCCTGCTCCCCACTGTAGGGCACTGCCTTAATTTGGAGGTGAATGCAGACAGCTAAACAGTGTTTTTCCTTGCAGGGCTCTGGGGTGATCAAGGCTGGCTTTGCAGGAGATCAGATCCCCAAATACTGTTTCCCAAACTAGTAAGTGTTCAGGCAGCAGCCCTAACCTTTTTGTTTGCTTCCCAGGAGAACAGTGATCCTGAGTCTTTGAGGCCAACCTTGAGGCGGACACTGTTGAGGGCTCTGCAAGGAGCAGACAGCTGCTCTGGGCTTCCCCCTCCTCTTTGGAGTCTGATTTTGGTCCCTCACTGAGGGAGGGAGAAGCACCAGCATTCCCCTGGGGACAGGGCGTGGCCGCAGCAGCTACAATAAAAGGGAGAAGATTCCCAGAGAAAGGCCTGAACTCGGGGAAGAGTGGGCGATTACTGCACAGCCACCTCTTCCTCCCAGGGGAGGTTTTCTTTGGGGCTTATTTATTTTCAGACTCTAGAAAATACTTTCTCAGAGGAGGTGAAACCTGAGAAAGCCTGGGGTTCACCTTCGGCTACTCCAGTCCCTTGGGAAGTTTTCCCTCAGCAGCGCACCTCGCAAATCCTAGAGGCTTTAGAGCAGCGGTTCTCAACCTGTGCGTCGAATGACCCTTTCACAGGGGTCGCCTAAGACCATTGGAAAACACATATATAATTACATATTGTTTTTGTGATTAATCACTATGCTTTAATTATGTTCAATTTGTAACAATGAAATTGGAGGTCACCACAACATGAGGAACTGTATTAAAGGGTCGCGGCATTAGGAAGGTTGAGAACCACTGCTTTAGAGTGATTAGCCTAAGCCTGGCGGGGGCGGGGGGGGGCTCCTTTCTGAAACCCACTTGGGTGTAATTAAGGGTCCTGTTGTGCAGGAAACTTGGGTCAAATTTTGGAATCTCTATTCTGGAAGCCCCGGCAGTGGGAAAGGGGCGGAATCGACTGAAGGGGGTGGGGGGCGTTCACAGAGCCACCACCCAGCTTCCCGGGGCATCCTCCCTCGTCCTCCTGACCCCGAGAGCATGGGCCGAGTCGCTGGCTGCGGAAGCCAACTCCTGCCAGAATAGGCCATGGAGGGCTGATGTTCCAGAGCTCAGCCCTCTATGGGGGGGACACCTTTTCTTCTGACCCCGAGCTTCCTGTCCTGCTGAGGCCTGCTCTATAGCCCCTGCTCGGTAGTCCCGCATCCCAGATCCCTGGCTTCTGACCACATTCTGGTGCTTTGGAGTAAGTTACTCTTGACCACTGGAGTTGGGCTTTCCAGCTGTGCCCCCGCCTGCCTCACTGACTGCCTGTCCCCGCAGTGTCGGGCGCCCAAAGCACATGCGCGTGATGGCTGGAGCCCTGGAAGGGGACCTCTTCATTGGACCAAAAGCAGAGGTAACGTGGAACCTGCACTTCCCTGGGTTTGAGGTCTTCATGGTCCCAGGAGCCTGTCTGGGGGCAGAGCTGTCCTGCAGAGCCCCCCAAGACTGCTCTCTGGGCCACGTTCCAGATGCCCCCTGGGCTCTCCAGGCTTTAGCTCTGAAGGCTACCCTGTAATGAGGCGGTGGCTCCTGGGGTGGGGTACAGTTAGACACTCATGCCCTGTCTTTTGGAAGCTGCAGAAGAAAGAACTGATTAAAAAGTGACTTAAGAGTCTGAATTACCCAGACTTGATAACTGATCCCAACAAGAGCTGTGGAGCCACCTCTTGCACCCCAGCTGGGGTGACTTGCAGGGGCCACACGGCCAGAGAGGCCCTCAGGAGGAGCGAATGTGGAGGGGGGGCGTTATACGCAAGTGCAGATTAGGCACCTGGGCAACACTGTGGGGTGCCAGGATCTGGGAGCACAATAGGGGCTCTCAGGAGATGGGTCAATAGGAAAGAGGCAAAGTGGTGCTTGGCAAGAAGGGACATAGGGACATTGGAGGACAGTCCATGCAGGAGATGTGAGCACTGGCAGGGGAACTGGGGGAAGGGGCAGGGGGGTGACAGGTGACCACAGAGGGGACAGTACAGGCGCCGATGGGAGCGTAGCCATGTGTGGGGAAAAGAGGAGATGCGCTGGCCGTGAGTATAGAGAAGCGTGCCGGGGAGGAGGCCGAGGGCCTGGGGGGGGTGGGAGGAAGCACATCACCACCCTCCCTGTCCCTGGCCAGGTGAGGCTGGCTAGACTCTGAGAGGCTGCCAGACAATCGAGCCACGCGCATGGGGACACCCAGGAAGCAGCGGTGGTTCTACTCGGGGCAGGTGAAGGCAGAAAGCAGTGGCTGGGGGTGGGGCCTGGAGCCACACTGCCTTCCCACCCTCCTGCGCAGGAGCACCGCGGGCTGCTGGCTCTGCGCTACCCCATGGAGCACGGCGTGGTGCGGGACTGGAATGACATGGAGCGCATCTGGCAGTACGTCTACTCCAAGGACCAGCTGCAGACCTTCTCCGAGGAGGTGTGACAGCCCGGCCTCCCCCAGGCTCCGAATCCCCTCGCTGTGCCCTCCCTGCTGTGCTCCCTCGGGGCCAGGCTCCCATATTTCCTGCGTTTTGCTGGGGCCTGCTGCCTCTTCACTGTGTGGGGGGCACAACAGTCGGGTCGGCCAAGCAGAAACTTCCCGAGAGAGTGGGCTGTGGAAGAGTAACTGCCAGCAGGTGACAGGACAGTGTCCTTGAGAAGGACGTGCACTCACTGCGGGTGCACGGGGAGGAGGGTTCCTCTGGAAGATCCTTTCAGGGCCTCGCGTGCCGTCTGTGCACACGCCCACAGCTCTGCTGTCTCTTGTAGCATCCTGTTCTCCTAACGGAAGCCCCGCTCAACCCGAGTAAGAACCGGGAGAAGGCGGCAGAGGTGTTCTTCGAGACCTTCAATGTGCCGGCCCTGTTCATCTCCATGCAGGCCGTGCTCAGCCTGTGAGTGGTCCCTGGGGTCCCATCCTCCCTGCGGCCATCCTGCTCGAGGTGACCAGATGGGGAGTTCCTTGGGCCGTTGTCCTAGGGTTCCTTCCAGGGGTGGGAGGCCCATGCCTTACCGGCTGAGGCGAGGGGATGCTGACCTGCTGACAGGTACGCAACAGGACGAACGACAGGAGTGGTGTTAGACTCGGGGGACGGGGTCACCCATGCTGTCCCTATCTACGAGGGCTTTGCCATGCCGCATTCCATCATGCGGGTGGACATCGCTGGCCGCGACGTCTCCCGCTATCTCCGGCTGCTGCTGCGCAAGGAAGGCTTCGACTTCCACACCTCAGCGGAGTTTGAGGTTGTTCGGACCATCAAAGAGGTGACGAAGGGCAGGAGGTTGTGGAGTGACGGGAGGAGGGCGAATGGCAGGGGAGGAGGGCAGGACCAAGGCTTGAAGTCGAGCCTGGGTGTGGGTGTCCCAGTCACAGCCTTTGAAGGTGTGTCCCTGCCCCCCACGCCTCGCAGAGAGCCTGCTACCTGTCCATCAACCCGCAGAAGGATGAGGCTCTGGAGACAGAGAAGGTGCAGTACACCTTGCCGGATGGCAGCATGCTTGACGTAAGTCACCAGGCCTGGCCCTGGGTGGCGGTGGTGCTGCTGGGCCTGGAGGAAGAGGCCTATACCTCAATCTTATGTTCCAAAGGTGGGGCCAGCACGATTCCGGGCCCCCGAACTGCTGTTCCAGCCAGACCTGGTAGGGGACGAGAGCGAGGGGCTCCACGAGGTGCTGGCCTTCGCCATCCACAAGTCGGACCTGGACCTCCGCCGGACGCTGTTCGCCAACATCGTGCTTTCAGGAGGCTCCACGCTGTTCAAAGGTGCCTGACCTGGGAGGTGGGGCGGGGTGGGGGGGGGGGGAAGGGGGGGGGGGGCCTTTTAAACCCCCCCCCCGCA